TATCAATTCAGTGGTAATACTAAGGAAATTAATTTTTTCAACAATGAATTCTTTATTTATTTTAGATAAACCTGCAATTCTTCTTTGTTTTGCTTTGGTTGTTCATTAAAATATACCCTAGGTACATTCGTCCTGCGTTTGACGAGTACACGCTTCATTCTTTAATTTTATTGTGCGCAAGACGCACAAATTAAATTCCACAGTTAACAGGTTAATCTATAGCGTATTCGATTTAAAGTGGTTGTTCTTAGAAACTGATTTTAAATGTTCAAATAACAGTAAAATTTCAAGAATTAGAGTGTCTAAGTCGGGTCAGTGGGAGCGCGATCATTGAAGTTTTGATCCAAGCCTGTCCAAGCTGCCACTCATTCGAGCTAGTTTCGACGAGCCAAATGCCAAGAGTCGCGTCGTTAGTTAAGTCAAGGTTCAAAAGAGTCAAAGTCTGGCACTGAGAAATACGTAAGTGAGACACTATCGTGAATATCATATCACTCACATTTGAGCTTTAAACGAAAGGGACATACTCGCCTTTTACAAGACATGTTCGCATAACGCTATTGTTCTCCTTCTATTATAGTTTTATTGTCAGGCGTGGTACATCACTTAATTAGTGAGCCTCAAAGAGAGCTTTCGTTGATGAAAGCCTAGCTATACCAGTCCAGAATATGAAACTCAGATGACCAGTGATGAAGAAAGAAGAATATGGAAGTTAGGGGGTCATCAGAACTTGAGGATCTGGTTAGCCCAGCACTGGGATCCTTGAATTAAGACGTCTACCTAGTGAATCGATAAGAAGGATGAAATATTCGTGGTACAGATCAGGTCTGCATGTTGGAAAATGCACAAGTGCTGAGTTAGGACATTATCGAAACCTAGAAATTTTAGTTTTTGATTCTTGAGTCAACATCTTCTTGGGATAAAACCTTCATCCAGTAAAACAATGGGAATAGGAAGCAGTATTAGTTGTATATAGTGGTATAGACTCTAATATAGAGTTTTGGTATTTAGTAACGAAGGAATTGGTATTGTTAGAATTCAGAGTTTGAGTATCCTGACACTGAAGAAATGTCTGGATCGTGGTCTCCTTGAGACAAAATTTCCAACGAATGGACTAATGGAAAGACAGCATTATTGTATCAAGTATTAGACCATGAAGTTCTGACAGCTAACAATGAAGAAAGGTGAGAATTGAGGTTAGGAGGTCACTGGGTCATAGAGGTCTTGGTAGTCTGGTGAATCTTTGGGGTAAGTCCTTCTCGGGACAATGTTATTTAGTCAATCAATTAGAAAGGAAAGAGTATTACAAAGAATGATGAGACGGGGTAAGTATCGACGTTGGATGTAGGTCCTTACGTTGAGATGTCTGCGATAAGTCCTTTGGCTAGCAGATTGAAAAGAATGGTGAATTAAGATCAAATTAAGAAGGCGTTAAGTGTTATAGATGCGACAAATGGATTGAACAGAAAGAGAGACGAACTAGTGTCATTCGGTTAACCAGTTAACTACGTTTGATGCGTATACACGCCATTTTAAAGCTTGAAATGATACCGATTCTTTCAACGATGAACTCTTTATTTTTTTAGATAAACCTGCAATTCTTCTTTGTTTTACTTTGGTTTTTCATTAAAATATACCTTAGATATATTCGTCCTGCGTGTGACAAGTACACACTTCATTTTTTGATTTTATGGCGAGCAAAACGGATTAATGCAGGGGTGCACAATTGCTGACCGAGTAAACGGAAGTTATATTTCAGCAGATAGGGTCTTTAAATTTGAGTGTCTTAGAAAAAAATGTCTTAAATAATAATTTACTAAAATCTTATTATGAAACAAGACTGCAATGTTTTTGTTTAATTAATGATTTTATCTTGAAGTGTAACTAAAAATTGTAGACTATTTTTGTCAATGAAGTTTATTCACTTTTTCTCATGCAAAGGGGAATTAACAACTGGTATAATAAACGTTTACCTCTGTTCTGCTGAATATACGCTGTGTATATTCCCCTTTGTGCTGAGTTGTCTTTTATAAAGAAAGGTCGTACTGTGAGCTACCGAGCTTAATAGACTGTATTAAAGCATAAATGGCAGATGCATTTGGGTAGCTCGTCGGAATAATGCCACGAGTTATCGTCACGATATATTATTTTCGTTCTGCTTTCCTTTATGTTTCAATAATTTTCATTTCGCAGTTCATTCTCATAATTGCGTCTTTGAATGCCGCATGTCGTAGCGTGTATTAGCATCAGATACATACTAGGACACAATGTTTATCTGAATGTAATTGAAATCCGTGCGTATGGAATTCCTCAGCATACAGATGATGAGTGATTCTAGTCAAAAGAATAATTTATGAATATGTGTATATACAATAATTCGTATTCACTGACTCTTGTAGAATATGCTTATCATGTAATTTACATTTTTGTTTTCCCACAGACAAATTAGTCAATTACTCGAAATTCCATTAGTTTTATTATTTAAAAATGCTCGTTCAATAGAAATAAATACCAATTTTGTTGCGCAAAATGAAACATTGACATCATTTAAAAATTATTCTGGGCTACACATCCATCTATTCACTTATTCTAATTACATACTGTAAGAACCACAGAAATGGTGACAGGGATGGAGAATACTGTATGACACAATTAAAAAGTACTTGTAGAAAACACTATGAAATGCTAAACATCAAATTTTTCAAAAACAAAAAGACTATTACCTAACGTTTCCTTGGACATACTAACAATGTCATCTTTTGGCACCCTCGATGATTGCTTACGAAATTGTATATTACAGTATTGTTATTGACATGTAAGTCATTTTGCAATAAAAAAATCTCCAAATTTTCCAATTTTACCATTTACTTGTATTTTCTGCAAGCCAACTGTTCAAGTTGGTCAACCTTACACCAACCTTATCACCCTTCACCCAGGGGTTTCTCGTCATACGCTGTCTAGATTCCCGAAGTCGTTGACTGCGGGCCCGACGTGTTTCACCTTTCGCGAGAGAAGAAAGAGAATGACACGGGGGTACACTGAAATAACGAATAAGAGAGTCAGCGAACGAAAAACGAGGAGGAGGCTTGTAAAAATGTTGGTCGAACGACGCGAAGACGGTGACACTGTGGATCGTCTGGAAGGTTTAACGGCGCTTGGTGGCGCGCCAGAAAACATTTAAAGGGAGCAAGACACGCGGCGGCGCCCGTTCAACATCGCGAAACTGGCATCAGTCACGTAGCTTGGATGAATTCGAGAATAGGATCGATTCAACGTTCAATTATTGCAAACATCGCACCTGGAGAAAAACGTTTTGCGTGTGCCTCTCCTGCGTTGATCGGTTCGCGTTAGTCACAAGCTCGCAACGAAGGGTCTTTGTCCTTAAATGGAACCTAATCGCGGCACGCTTATCTTTAGTCCCATGTCTATTAAGTCGTATTTTCTTTCACAAAACGCTTTATCATCGAATAAAACGAAGAGATAAGAAATTTTATAAACACATGTGAAGAATAATGTATGATGAAATTAAGATTGGGTATTACCCTACTGGTCATTCTACAGAATTGAATTTGAGTTTGTATTAATTTCAATATTGTATTAATATAAATAAGTTATTCTACTTAAAGAAAATGATGGTAACATTGACATTGTAAAATGTACCTTTTATCATAATATTTGATGTTTTAAAATAAATGTCTTTAACAGATGTTTCATATTATTACAAACAACGGGAACAGTTTAAGCTCCAGTCTCGGATAATTCACCCTATACAGCAATTGCAATTTTCAAATATTCAATTTAACTATGTATACAATAATAAATAATTTTTATAAATCTCTTAGTCAAATATAATAGTCTAAATTTACAATTTGTCGATTTCTAAGTTCAGGGAAACGCCTTTGACCTGAACTCTATTTTCACACCCTTAGACTGTCGTTAATGAAAGTTACGTTAAAAGATTGATTAAAGAAAAAATTTATGGAGCTCGTTCAAGGTGCCGAAAATTCCAAGTTTGTTCGTTATTTTGATACGGCAGTTTCGATCACGCGAGCAGGGCAACTTCACAGGTAGTTCGTCTTTTATCCGTGGTCTTTCGGTGATTTAGCTAGGTTCAATCGTGAATCAGGGGGTACGGGTTAGGGAGCCGCAACTGTCACAGCCGAATAAACGTGATCGCGCAAAATTTGGGTTTCCATTCACTGCACGTAAATGTTAAGGGTAAAGGTAAGGATACCTGCATTGGATCGATGCGATCGCGATTGACGTTCCTTTGATCGGAACCGTTTGTCTTCGGAAAGTCATTGAAACGCGTCCGCGCCAAAACACAAAATTTTGGTGACGAAGAACGATTGGGAGCTTTGTTGAAATTTTCTTGTCAGAAATGACTTAACTTGAAGAGTTCGTGCACTGACGATAATATAGCCGATGATATTAAGATAACATTGCAAGAATTATTAATTATGAAAAGTAAGATTCTAAAACAATGATTTCTTAACTGTCATTGAAAAAGTGTTTTAATCTTCTGTGTTTCGAAGTGTTTCTGATTTTCCACTTTGTACATTGCATTAACGGTATTTAACTTAATTGTGATTTAATGTGACGATTTAATAGTTTACTTAAGAATATTTGAGAACTATTGAAATTATACTTGTATATGACTTGACTATAACATGAATAATTACAGCAGAATCGAGTAAAATACTTAATATTGGATTAAAATTTAATATTGAGTCTTAACTTTTTTATTTTAAATTTGATTTTGAAATATTTTTTAAAAGAAACAGATTTCGTATGTTTCTTAATAAATAAACATCGCATATCTCTCCCTAATATAGTGAAATAAATAGAAGTAGGCGAGCACTTATTTAATAGATATAATATTATTTTAATACATAGGGAAAAATACTCTGTTAGTAGTTAATATATTTTCTGTTATTTATACTTTAAATTATTACTAATGAGTACTTATTTTCATATACAAGAGATTTATTTTTGTGTTTTAGGTACAAATGCAAGATCACCTGGTAAAACCTCCCCGGCGGGGGTTAACGAGTCCAGGGATAGAGGGGGTAGAACAATGAAAGACTACGAGGACCAACTGGAAAGACTCAAGAAGGAGAATTTCAATCTAAAATTACGGATATATTTTCTTGAGGAACGAATGGGCATTACAGCCGTTGATGAAAATAAGATAAAGAAGAATATCGAATTGAAGGTTCTTATTTCTGAAATACCTCTCTGTTCATAGTACCAACTTTTTCTTCAGATTTAAAAATTTAACCCTTGTAATATTGAAGGAGTAATACGTCAGAAGTTATCGTTTATTAAAATCATTTTTTTCTAGTACTAAATTTTTTGCTGTGGATAGATTTAAAAAGCCTGGTAATATGTAAAAATTTATTTCTCTTCTAAGGGATTTCACTGAATTAAAAATAAACCAAAAATTTTACTAACCCCTTGCTTTATAGAAAGTCAAACTTTCGGTGAAAACTTTGAACTGAATTGAATAAATGTAAATGTGATTCTTTTCTCTTATAGTAATAAATATTTTTATTTCTGTGATCAAAGTTTAATTATTAGATAGTTAAATCTTAAAATTACCATAGAAATCCTTTTCTTTTTAGCAAATTTATAATCATGAACCTTTGTAAATGTAGTTATTGAAGGAATCATAAGACAAACAGTTAAGTTTAATACACATTTTTTTTTATTTTTCATTATAGAATTGTATCTGCATCACAATTGATGTATAGAAGTCGTAATCTAAGCAGAAATATCGAAATTTAATTAGTCGTTAAAAAGAAATTGAAATTACAAGTGAAGTTTATTATTTTTAAAATGACAAGAGTTCTCTGTCTACTGCTAGGTCGAAATCGAATCACTAAGGCAAGAATTGATTGAGAAGCAGGGACTCCTTAGTCAAGCAGCCAAAGCGATTCAGTTAATTGAAGAGCAGAAAGAAGTATGCTCGCGGAATGAGGCTCAATACCAACAAACTCTCGAGGCAGAACGGGAGAAGATCCGGAAATTAGAGAAAGGTGAGTAGCAAGAACTTTTCAGGACAATTGTATTTAATTTAAAAATTTTAATTATAATATATCTTAATATTTATTCGTTTTAATTAAAGAATTGTATTGTATGTAATTAGTTTAAACATGCATCTTCTTAATATCAAGATTAAAACTTATACTTTAAACAAGAAAAAGGAATAACAGATTGATGAACATTACTTAATCGTATAAAAAAAACAAATTATTTTGTATTATAGTGGAACTCCATATAGCATTAAGTCATGGAAAGACTGTAGATATTTTTTCAAATATGATATTTACCGAAAGTGGAATCAGTTAAGTTTATTTACTTTATGTAGGTTTTCTCAGGGAGAATAATTATTTTATTACGGTGTATTAATAATAAATTGTATTTTGTTGATTTATCTTCATTGTTTCTTATTAGTTTGATTTATTTCTGGCACAATGACATGTTGTGTTGTCTTCTGTTACAATAGAAATAACGGAATACCAGAAAAAGGCAGATGCGTCCATATATTACAAGCAGGCGTTCGGGATTACGTCGGAAAAGGCAGTGGATAACGAAGAAAAATTACGACAAATGGAAGAAGTTGTCGCGTCCCTGGAGGCCGAGGTAAGAAGTTTTATAAAGAAAATGTATAAAAAAACAGGTCGATAATTCGAAAATTTTTATTTTTTTAACTTGAATACAAGTATCAGGCAATGTTTATTAGCTCCTCATTTTCAGGGTGGAAACATTTATTAAAAGAAAAGTATTTTTTTTTATTTTTCAATATACCATAAAAATTAAATAGAAAAAAATTATTCGAATAAAAATTAATGGAAGCTATACCACGAAAATTAAGTAGATAAAAAACTGTGAAAATAAAATTGATGAAAACTAGTGGTTATAAGTATCATTAAATTCTTTGTGGTATAAGATCTTATTTTTCGTAATTCTTAAAAAATTCTCAACAAGAACAGTAGTTGATAAGCAAATTACTCATCGTCCTACTTATTTCTCTTTTTACATGTATCATTTCCACATTATCACTTCCTCACTTCCTACCGCTAAAAGAATCCACAGCAGATAAGAAGGCAGCTATCGTCGCTCAAAAAAAGAAATGAAAAAAGTTAATCAGTTCTCCTTTGTTCGTGGACGAGTTCACTTTACTATCATGTGTCACTGTTAGAATTTTGCAAGCTGTTCTTTGTATACACTGAAACAGTAGTTCTGTTCGTTCTCTATAGTGGGCAATTAAATATATACTTTATAAATATAATTTCTTATGGATATTGAGTTTTTATTGTAAGGCAGCCTGATGCTTGCTAAGGTAATTACAAAATGAGACCAAAAAATGAGGCGAAAGCTAGAGAAGATATGGATATTAAATAATTCAAGAATTCACAAAATTAATGCGTCGTTAGAATATAGAGTTTCTATTTATAAACAATTCATGATTTATACTTTAAACGGTTCATGTACTTTGAGCAATTGCAGATTCATTAGTAAATTATATTATCTAGTCTTTTATTGCAGGAATAGTTTAAGTTCATTTATGATCCGAAAACGTATAATAAGTAATATACTTAATTTTCATAAAATGTATACAATGTATTTACCTACATTATATTTCAAACAAACGCGGCATAAATACAGTAGATTAAATTAGTATTTTTGAATTGATTGAAATGTAAATCTTGAAATTCGTATCTTTACAGTGAAAAATTAATTTACATCACTATTATAATAAATGATTCACATATTACTTATACACATATTTCTTATCTTCTTTGTCCTTTAAATAAAGGTACGTATTTTCTAATAGTATCTAAAAGCATCCAAATTATGATAATAAATTATGATAATGTAAAAAATATCTTCTATAATTTTCAGTTATTACGAAAGTGCGAATTTTATACAATTTTATGAGTAAGAATTATTTAAATTTCAATACAGTCAAAATATTATGGATATAAATAAATTTTTATGTACTTGGTACTTAAGGGAATCTTTAACAGAAGAATCAAATTTCTATTTGTTTTATTTCCATAAATGAATTTGTAGAGACCTTTATATGTATAAATGTCTGTTGTTTCAATAATTTGTCAAAGTGTTCATACATTGAAATCTTACATGAAACAGTAATTGTCGAGTAATATTTAACCAAACTTAACATTAACGAATTCATGTTTTTAAATAGATACAGCTGCATCTAATTGATCTATCTATAACACAGGTGGAACAGGTGACGAGTAGCTTGAACGAGGAACGTAGCTGGACACAAGAGCTTGAGACCGAGAGGGACGAACTGAGAAAACGTTTGGAAGCTGAGACACGTTTGAGAGAAAATTTGGCTGCGGAGAGGGTGCAAGAGGCGGAGGGTCTACGGGAGAAAGTCAAAGAACTGGAAGAAGAACTGCTAAAAAAGGACATTGATGTGCAGCAGTGTAGAAACGACTTGACCGAGACGAAACGAGTGAACAAGGAGCTTAGCGTGCAGCTGGAGAACAAATGTCAGGCGTTCGACGAACTGAATACCGTTGTAGAGAAACGAAAGAAGCAAGTCGATCAGCTAAGGGCGTCTGTGAAGACCAGGGACGATGCCCTAACGGACCTTAACAATAAACATCGCACGTTGCTATCTCAGGTGATAATTTCATCTTTCATTTTATGGTATTAACCCTAGATAACTAAACTTTCATTTAATAGTCTACCGATTTCTGCCATTTTTGCCAATTCGAAATTGGGAGCACACCTTTAACATCTGCAAAGAGTACAAACGTTAATTTTGAATTCTTTACTATTGTCTACTTAGACTTTAATAGTATACGTCTTAGGTTGTGCAAGTTTGTTTGAAATGAATGGAAGAAATATAAAAATATGTGTATTTATTCGTAGTGTACGAGTTGAATATTTAGTTACAGAGTAATACTAATTTAGTTATTTAGGCTTAACACGTTGTTTAGTACCTTACCAAGGCGGAATAGTTGAAGGATACGGATATATATTTCTATGGTATCATTTGATAAATGTTAAGAATATGTCATCGTTTTTTCTTATGCTTCATTATTTATTCCCATAAATTATTGTTCCTATCTCTGGGAATGATTTGGTACTTCCAGGAAGTTTGATATTATCTTTTTATATTTTTGAGTAATTGACAATGATATTATATAAAAACGGTTATTTTCTGTTTTTAAAAACCGTATTTATGCTAAAACAAGAGAAAATAAGTATTTTTATCTTATATTTATCATGTATACTTATCATGTTCAATAGAAATATTTTTATGATATAATTTTTTAATACGTTGAATGCCATGGGGGTCACCGGTGACCCCCGATCAAATCAAATTATTATAGTTCACTCAATAAAACGACGATTATATGAAAACATTTTTATATTATAAATAATGCTACATAATACAGTGACATTCAGTTAAATGAATGTGGAATAGTAATAATACAATTCGATCAAATGATTTAATATTATATTTTTTCCATTCGGCTTATTTTCCTCTGTGAAATCGTGCGGCGTTCAACGTGTTAGTATCGTATTTTGGCATAGAACATCAGTCATTCCACCTTGGTACGTTAAGGGTTAACAAAACATACCTTTTACCTTTTTTTATAATTCTAACAGTTTTTTCTAATTATAATTTCTTCATACCCTTAGAAAAAACTGGAAAGTTGTCAGGTAATTATATACGTTTATACAGTACTTTGTACGACTTTGCAGATATAAAATGTATGATATCTGTGGAAAACAGCTATTCAAGATATAAAAGTACATTAATAGCTCCTCAATACATTTAATTGGCTATCCATGAAAGACTTTGAACCATAGTCCAATCGATTTTAATTACAGTTCGAGAACGGTTATGCCAAACGATCAGTACCCTGCAGTTCGTCGGGAATGAAATCAATTGAAGACCCGTTACAGTCGCGGCTGGGACAGAAAATAACCAACGCTGATGGTACGATGAAGAGAGAAAACACTTGTCTCGATTGGGAACCGAACAGGGAAAGGTCATCGCGAGCAAAGTCGCCGACAGATATTCTCTGTGAAGAGACAAAAGCCCTAAAAGACCTAATGAAGGTTTGTATTACTCGTAATTTTTTTGTTATTTAAGCTCTACTAGACACTATTGGAAAGATAACGGTACCTTATAAAAAATATTGTAAAAATTAAGGGGTAATGCGATTCAAATTATTAATTTATTAATGAAGCTCACATAGTAGTAATTTACGCTCTAAACAAAATGTTTCTTCAGAGTCATTTCATTGCTTTAATTTGATGAAAATCCTACCACTTTTTCTATGTCAGTGCAATGAAAATATTTCCAAATTTTTTAATAGATTATTGTTACATTTAATTTACTGTAACAGTATAATTGCTTTCTGGAATTTAAATCAAACTCTAAAGCCAAGTGGAGACGCGTATATTCGTAATTTGTTAGGAACATATTACCTGTAGTAATCGTAGTTAGTCCAATTATGGCAGCCACCTTGACTTCATTGCAATGGTTGTTCATGTAATTCCGTAACCGAGGTTGGACGATTAATGTCTATGTGTAGATTCAGTAAAAGTAAAATTGTTTTCAAGGATGTAGGAAATCAGTTCATTAAAAAATGAAGTTCTCTTTTGCTATCAATTCTAAGTAAGCGAAATAAAACTGAAGGAGTAAATATAAATAATTGAAATTTCCCCAGTACGTGTAGATAGATTTCCATTTTGAAATTGAATGAAAAAATTAAAGGATCGAAACAAAATTGTTTAAATTAATTCGAATATTTTAAACTTATTAATGAACTTATTTTTTTTAAATAAGTTCGTTTTATTTGTGTTTTTTACAGGAATTAGAAGAAAAGGACAACGAAGTAAAACGTCGTCAAGAAAAGAATAAACAGCTTGTGCTGAAACTTTGCAATATGCAGAAGCATGCAGAGACCGTAGATTATAAGCTAAAGAAATTAGAAAGTGATCACGAAAAGGCGATAAAGACCATCCAAGGCTTCATGGAGAGGCAACAGCAATTAGAAAACAGCAAAGTGATAAAGGAACAAAAGATCATAGAATTAGAAATGGAACTGAATCGGCTAAGGGAAGGCGAAAACTCGAAGATAGGAAGGGACAGAAGGGACGAGCGTAATCCCAGCAATCAGGTCGACATCATGATTTTTCAACTTTGTTCCGCCATCTATGCGTTTCTGAACAATCATATCGTAATCAAAATTTGTTCTGCTGTTTCAAAACTGGTTGCTACTATTCTGTTTACAGATTTTAATTTTCTTGCTAAAAAATAGCATTTAGATGATTCCGTTTGTGTCAATTAGTTTACAATTATGCGATACGTTTGTATTCAGAAATGGAAAGATGTGAATCTTGCATCTGCACAATGCGTTACGCTTAGAAAGGAAACGAAATCACAGAATTGCTTAGTATTACCAAGCGTTTCTCTTTATTTCAGAGACACTGAACTCACCTAACATCTTCTACTTCTACTTCTGCTTTTCTGCTTTATTGACAACATCATTCTCACTGCATGACACCTATCGCCTGTCGCCTTGGGGTACCGTTCGCCATTTTTTTTTCATACCTTGACAACGTACCGAACAATTGCGACAATTATTCTGCACTTCCATCGAACTGGATTATATCTGATTAAAATTATATCTAGTTAAATAATAATCAACTAGAATTTTTGATCGTGGGAAAGAAACTTCTGACGATTGTTTGTTTAGTATTCGAATACTTTTTCTTTCTATGAATTTTTTAATTTTTGGAAATCTTCGTTTTAATAATAATGTTTCTTTCCTTCTTGTTATTTAATGAATTCCGTCCAATCCAGGAAAACGTTACGCGACTCCCTCTTGCATTTATTTGTTTAGTATTTTCTGTTAAGAGGTAACAGATTTTTACGTGTATATATTTTTGCACGGATTTCTGGTATTGATGCATGTCACGTGTGGAAAACACACTTGTATAAATATACAGTTATTGGTTATATTTAGGGGGAAGGAAACTGCAATTCTGTATTTATATTTATATTAATTTGTTTGAATATGCTAATAGTTGTAAAAATAGGATTAATAAAATAGAATTTAGAATTTCATAAGTTTTTCATCCCTGTACGTATAACCAACTCTGTACATTGTTTCCTGGAAATGACTAAGTGAATACTAATAAATTATTATATAACATTTTTTACAACCCTCCCATAACTCATAATCCCAATGTACATCGATCTATAATGATGTATTTGAAACCTGAACTGTCTAACCACAACACACTTTCACTTCTTTTGGTACATAATAGAATGAGTATTCTCTCTCATTTGCAAATTAACAAGATAGTCAGTAATCTGTTGTTAAAGTTTACAACGAATAAATGAATGATCCACTTTGCTAAATTGTCTGATTGTCTAATTTGACTGGGGCCTCGGTACTTAAAACTGGTTAAACAAGATAAGAAATTAGAAGAATGAAAGTTATTTGATAAACATT